CGCCGGCCGCGGGGGCTTCTGGGAGGAGCGGGAGGGGCGGCGGCGGCCGCGGGGCGGGGCCTGCACTGCGTGGGCGGGGCCGGCAGCGTGGGGGCGGGGTCTACGCGCCATGGGCGAGGCCTGCGGTTTTCATTTGCATAGTGGGCGTGGTCTCCGCGGGGAGGCGTGGCCGGCCCCGCACGGCGGCCCCGCCCGCTCCCGGTCCCCGCGGGGCCCCGTCCCGGTGCCGGCGCCACCCCCCGTCCCGTCCCGTCCCCGCCGCCCCCGCCGCTCCACAGAGACGCCAGACACGGGGCAAGGCACAAGCGGCTGCGCTTTATAGCACCGACGTCCCGCGCGGGGCCCGGCTCGGGCTCACGGGGGTCCCCCGGCCCGGGGAGAGGCGCCCGCGCTGCCCCGCCAGGACCGGGACCGGCGGCTCTCAGGCCACGGAGCACTTGGAGCCGCCCTTGCGCTGCGAGCCCAGCTCCAGCGGCGCCTTGGTGCTCTGGCCCTGCAGGGACGAGGCCGAGAGGTGGCGGGGGGCCGGGGGTGGCCGCGGGGCCCCCCTGCCAGCCGCACTCACTGCTTTCCGGGCGCTTTTCAGCAGGATGTCCCGCGCCAGCGTGCGGAAGGCCTGGGGACAGGGCCACAGTCAAGGGCAGCCTCGGGGACACGGGCGGCACGGGACGCGGGACGCGTCCGGCCGCTCTCACCTCTTCCACGTTGACGCTGGACTTGGCGCTGGTCTCGAAGAAGCGGATCCCGTGCTCCCTGGCCAGCTGCGGGGCGAGGGGGGGCCGTGGGGTGGGCACCGCGGCCCCCCGGCCCCCCCGTGCCCCCACTTACCTTCTCGGCGTCGTCCCGCTGCACCTTGCGCTTGCTCTCCATGTCGCACTTGTTGCCGATGAGGAGCCGCTCGACGCCGGCGGACGCGTTCTGGGGTGGCCGCGGGGGACACCGGAGACTGTCAGCGTCACCCGCCGCCCCCCAGCCCCCCTCCCCGTCCTGCGCCCCGACCTCCTTGATGCTCTTCATCCAGTTCTGGATGTTCTCGAAGGACTTCTCGTCCGTGATGTCGTACACCAAGATGATGCCCTGCGCGGGCGGGCGCTGAGCGGGCGCCCGCGGCCCCCCAGCAGCCCCCCCGGCGGCCGCTCCTACCATGGCTCCGCGGTAATAGGCCGTGGTGATGGTCTTGAAGCGCTCCTGTCCCGCCGTGTCCCTGCGGGAGCGGGGCGGTGACGGGGGCCGCGCGGCGGGCGCCGGGCTCGGCCGCCCCCCTCACTCACCAGACCTGCAGCTTGATCTTCTTGCCCTCGATTTCCACCGTGCGGATCTTGAAGTCGATGCCTGGGGCGGGAGCAGCGAGCGGGGCTGGAGCGGCCGGGGGCGCCCGGAGCGGGGCAAAGCCCCCGCGGGCCCCGGCTCTGTGCGGCGGGACGCCGCATTCCCGCGGGACGGCATCGCCCCCCGCCACGGCCTCGGAGGCTCCGGGCTGGAACGCGGCGGGAGCGGAGCGTGGGGCAGAACCGCGTCCCGGCTCCCCGCACGCCCCCCAATCCTGCCCCTAATCCAGCCGCTCGCTCCCCGCTGCTTCAGCGTCCATCCTTGCCGCAGGGCAGGGAGCCGGAGCGGGGGAGGGAGCAGCCCTTCCCGGCGGAATTCCCCGCCGGAGCAGCAGCTCCGGCACTCCCGGGCTGGGAGGCGCGCATGGGGATGCCCAGCTCCCTGGCCCGGCACCGGGACACCAGGCGGGAGCCTCGGGGATGCGGGAAGCGGAAGCGTCGCTGGGCTCCCGGCCTGGCTCTGCCGGGACCCTGCTCGCAGCTCCTTTGGGATGAGGGGAGCAGCAGCGGGATCCAAACCCGAGGGATCCCCCGCAGGCAGGAAGGGAAGCGCGATTGCCAAAGCGAGGGAGTGGATTTTTATTCTTTCTTCCTGCTGGCGGAAGGGAAGCAGGAAAAAGCGGCGGCTCCGGCCCCGCCGCGGGCTCCGGCTGCTGCACGGGGAGACGGTTCCCGGGGCTGGGGGGGGTCCTTGCAGCGGAGGGACCCTGGAAGGGGGTCCAGGAGCCTCCAGGGGGGACCCCGAGCTGGGGGGGGTCCCAGGAGCCCTG